CTCCAGCAGCTCAGGGAGGGGCGGGGCCATCTGCTGCAGATGCAAAGACAAACAAGAAGCTCAGCTTCTAAACAACATCACCTTGAAGGCTCAACTTCTTCCTGGTGGTTAATGTGAAAGAGAAACATTTCTATTTTTCTCATCACGATGTCAATTAGACCTGTTTGTCACCTGCAGGTTCACCAGGAGGACAGAGCGCGTACAGATGAGGTCATACTAAATCTGCTGCACTATCACTTTTTCTTGTGCTGCTTGTTGTTGTCACTGCTGCTGCTGGTGGTTTTTTAATCTACAGAAACTGTAAAGGAGAACGGAGTAAGCCTCCTGCCGAGCAAGGACACAAACTGTCCTAGATGTCTCCTCATTCAGATGTCAGCACCTCCATCAGTGAGCTCTGTTATGTGTAACGCATATACACTAAGATATACTTCATCACTCCCCAAAGCAACAACAGTAAAGACTTTCAAAAAAGAAAACCAGAGTAGAAGAAGCTCTTTTACTGGTCAGGAGGGGTCGCCACAGCTACACGTGTTTAGCACATGAAACTAAACATGTTTGATTTGGCAAACCAAAAGGATTTGTGTCACTTTGGAGAAGAAACACTGCAGAGAAACTTTAAACAAACTAGTGGAGAATCAGTATTAGAATATGATAGAAATCACTTTAAAAGAACCTGAAGATAAATAAATAAAACTCTAAATAATATTACTTTGAAAACTGAGTAAAAAGCTAAATAAAAACAAAAGAGTGACATAAGGCTACATTTGCCCAATGTGAACGACTAAAATAAAACTTTATAGATCTGATCAGAAGCCATTGTTGCTTTTGTTCAGCAGTGCAGAGTATATGAGGCATCATCAGCAGGAGTCGACTGAACAGTGAAATGCTGTTATGACCTGTTTATAAGTCCTCATTTCTCAGTTTGCACATCTCCGACTCCTCTTCCTCCCTCTCATTAGAGATGAGAGCTAAATAGCTGAGGAAGAAACAGGAAGGAGAGACAACAGATTTTGATCACACTGAGAAATCCGCCGCTCAAAGCTACACTATAAAAGTGATGTCTGGATTTATGATCTAAGATTTTTGGATGCTCATGATATTTTTTTTGCATTAAATATGTTTTTATCATCACTTTAAAGACAGAGAAAGGGTATATGAGTTGCATTACACATTCACTAGAATGCATTATATTTGATTTCTCATTTAAAAAGACTTTAGAGCTCTGTCTGCTTGATCAACGTGGCAGTAAAATGTTGACTTTTATTTCACTTTATTGTCTCCTGTGCTATTGTATACATGTGTTTCTAGTACACATATGTTTGGGTATCTATTTACCAGATCTATCTGTCTGTGTGCTGTAAATAAGTTCACATCATGGCAGCGTGACCGGCATCAGAGTGTCTTTTACTCGCTGATGGAAACAATGACGAGCTGTTTTTTCATTTTATCATCACAGTCAGTGTTCACGTGACTCAAACTCGGGTTGGGATGTCATCGATCAGGCCTGATGGTTTGTTTTACACACATCTGGTAGTTTGGCAGCTTAGATTTTTATACTGATGTCTCTAATTATTATTAGGATTGTTGTTTTAATTTTGAAAGTTAAAAAAAACATGCTGTGATGGGACAATAGAGAGGAATTGACAAACTCTGCTAAGTAAAACAATCAACCCTAACCTGATCGTCATTCACGAATTAGAAGAGGTGAAAATGTTTTCACATATTTATTATCTCTTAAACTCAGTTGGTCTCAGTGAGGTTCTTGGAGATTTGGATAGAAAGCGGTGACATGTTGCAGGAAAGCAGAAAATGTCATAATG